TGTAAGAATTTGACTCAAAAGATGATGCACACTTTTAGAACAAAATTGATTTATAAAGGTAAAAATGCCCATAAAAGGTAAACATCAATTTAAACTTATTGGAAAAGATTAATTTCTATCACTGCTGTGAACTTACCACAGAATATGAAATATATCAAAAACTTTAGCAGTCAGCTGTCCACGGTAGTCCTTAAGATATCAGCACAATAACACACTCAGCAAAATATCATCTAATTATCTTTATCGATAAAATACCAGAAAATATTGAGATATTATTTTTTGTCAATATCACACACCTCTAGTACCGACACAAAATAATTTGCAACAGTCGCTTTGTCATGTCCAGTGTAGACCGCCTCAAGCTGTTGGTTTATTTCTGTTTTTTTTTTGGCTAGTAGAATTTATGAATGGCCGGTAACTTAAAAATTTAGTAGCCAAATTGGCTGGTGAGTGAAAAAGTTCATTTCAATCCCTGTATATATATATAACCTTGCTACGTGTTATTTTATTGCTGTTTTGTTGGTTTTGATTGCTTCTGTTGTCCTCATTTGTAAGTCGCTTTGAATAAAAGCGTCTGCTAAATGACTAAATGTAAATGTGTGAGGTTTCTCTGAGCTCTGCTTTACTCCTGCAGGTGACTGAGGTTCACTGGCATGATGTGGCTGGATGGACAGGGCAGGGCGGTTCACTGCTGGGCACCAAACGGTCAGTTCTGTGCGTCTTTTTCTCTCTGTGTCTTAACCAGACTGAACACCTTGAGCCTCGAGCAACACGTAACACTTCATCCACCATGATGTTTGTGTTCTGATCAGACAACAAGCCACAGGCTGCAAGATGTTTCATAAGTTGCTTGGTTTCTGTGTCTGTTCTGTCAATCAGATTAGCCCCGCCTACAGTACAATCTCATTGGTCCATTTCGCTCCCCATATCTGCATATTAAATAACACACACACTCTGATTGGCTGAGATTTCATTGACTTTCACTTTTAGTTTAAAGAAATCAAATACTCTTGACTGGAAACTTTGTTTCATCGTTAAAACATGAAGCAGGGAGTCTTCAAATAAATACTGTTACAATCCACAGTATAGTTACTTCTAAATTATTCTTTTTTACTTTTCTCAATGGTTTGCAGTGCTTTTTATTTATTTATTAACAGCATTATTATAGTTAAGTGAAACTAAAATTAAAACCTACTTGGAATAAAATAAATGTTAACTGAAATAAAAAATATTTCAGGTGGTTGACAAGGCAACATTTCTCATTTTCATTTATTTTTAACTTGATGTACTCAAATAACTAAAACTGAAGTAAAAATAAAAAACCTATAAAAAACCCAAAAAATTACAACAACACAAAATTACTAAAACTTTAACAAAAATTAAAATGAAAATATAAAATATAAAAATAAAAACTGATTCAAAATATTAATAAAAACTAAAATAGTATCAGTGACACTAAAATTATTTATTTAGAACAATTTATTTATTTTTCATTCATTTATTTATATTATTCTATTGCTTGAGATATATATATATATATATATATATATATATATATTTGTAATTTTTCATATTAAAGTAAAATGTGTTGTTGCATGTTGTCTTTAAACAGCTCTTAAACAGACTTTTCTCAATGGTTGGAATTGCTTTAATGAATGTATTAATGCATTCATTTGTGTGTTTATATTTGTTCAGAACTCTTCCCAACTCCTGCATGGAGAACATTGTGGCCAATATCAGCAAATACAACATCCAGTCGCTGCTGGTGATTGGTGGATTTGAGGTACGGAGTGTGTGAGTGTGTGTGTGTGTGTGTGTCTCTGTGTGAGTGTGTCTGTCTCTGTGTGTGTGTGTGTATGTGTGTGTGTGTATGAGAGTGTGTCTGTGTGTGTGTGTGTGTGTGTCTGTGTGTGTGAGA